GGAGAAGCCTGTGAAAAAGCTATAAAAATATTTCCACATTAGCTGGCACTGACGTCAAACTAGGAAAATGAGTGAAGAAGTAAAATCAGAAGCAATATCAACCTTATGGGTTGTAAATGTTAGAGAATTCAAGTACCGTGCAAGACATAGCATGTATATATTGGATCTGATGTTGTTTATTCAGAATAGAATAAAGAAAACTCATTATAATGTGCATCCAAATTAAGATGGACCTGCATTGGTTACCATAATAAATACTGGATATAAATATATGATTTTTAACTGTTGTTGAGTTGACTTTGACTTATGGTGGCCCTATGAATTAAAGACCTCCAAACCACCCTATGATCAACAGGTCTTGCAGAGTCAGGTTCATGGCTTCCTTCATTGAATCTCTCCCTCTGTAATGCTATCTTTTTCTTTCCCTGCTCTTCTCAGCTTATCAAGACTTATTCTCTTCTCTAGTGAGTCATATCTTTTCATGATATGTCCAAAGTATAACAGTCTCAATTCAGTCATCTTGGTTACTAGAGAGAGTTCAGGCTTTATTTGCTCTAGAGGACCCATTTATTTGTCTTTTCAGCAGCCCATGGTATCTGTAGAACTCTTCTCCAGCACCATATTTCAAATGAATTGATTTTCTTGCCCTCGCCTATCTTCACTGTCCAGCTTTCTCAGCCATAAAGAGAAATGGGAAATATGATGACATGGACAATCCTAACTTTTGTATTCAGTGATCTATCTTTGCATTTCAGGATCTTGTCTAGTTCCCACATAGCTTCCCTTCCAAGTCCTAGTCTTCTGATTTATGAATGCAGTCTCCATTGTAATTAATGCCAGAGCCAAGGTATGGGACAGTTTGGACTATTTCAAATTTAAAATTATATAAATCATCTGTGATTATTTATTTTTGTTGTCTTAATGTTAAACTGTAAACCTGCTTTAGCACTGTCTTCCTTGACTTTTTTCAGTAAGAGTTATAAGTCTTTGCTATTTTCTGTGTATAGTGTCATCTGAATATCTTAAATTGTTGATGTTCCTTCCTTCAATTTTCATGGTTTCTTTGTCTAAGTCTAACCATGCTTTACATGTGATACATTCAACATATAAGTTAAACAGGTAGGGTGATAAGATGCAGCTTTGCCAGACCCCCTTGCCCAGGAGTAGGCAACCTTTCCCCTTTAAAGGCCGAGGGACTTCAGCTCCCAGAAGCCTCAGCCATGTTGGCCAATAGTCCCATGTTGGCCAATAGCTCCTGGGATTCTGGGAGCTGAAGTCCCTCGGCCCTTAAAGAGGAAAGGTTGCCTACCCCTGCCCTTGCCAACTGGAGATCTGTTTTTCCATATTATGTCCTCAGAGTAGTCTCTTGTCCTGAGCACAGGTTATGCATCAGGACAATTAAATATTGTAGCATCCCCATTTCTTTAAGAGAGAACCATAGTTTTACATGATCTATAAAATCAAAGACTTTGCTATAATCTGTAAAGCAAGGGTAGGCAACCTTTCCCCTTTAAGGGCTGAGGGACTTCAGCTCCCAGAAGCCTCAGCCATGTTGGCCAATAGTCCCGTGTTGGCCAATAGCTTCTGGGATTCTGGGAGTTGAAGTCCCTCAGCCCTTAAAGGGGAAAGGTTGTCTACCCCTGCTGTAAAGCATGGTCTGATTTTTATTTATATTATTCATTCACAAATATTTGTCATAATAGGAGGGTTTACATTGCACAGACACCTGAAAGATGCAGGGTACCTTTATGTAGTATGCATATAGAGAAAAAATATGCATACATAATGTAAACACACATTGTGCATAGGATCACAGTCATCAAAGATTATTTCAACCTATGATAAAGGTAAAAGAGACACTGCACCCTAACTGTGATCTTTTCTCTAAGACCACCACTTCATCTCTCCTTTGAGGATAATTGGCACTCATTTAGTTACATTATATATTAACTGTCCCCATATAACATGTCTTGTTGCCTTCACCTGATAAATCACTTTCTGGAAATGACTTGTTAAATTTAGTTAAGACTAAGTTGCTATCATCATTCCACAGGGATGAATTCTTGTTTTTATCTGTTCACTGATTAATACTCATGCCCACTCTCAATTTCTTCTTCTTCCTCCTCCTCCTCCTCCTCTTGCTTATGGTTAGACTTCAAGTGTAAGTAATAATAATAATAATAAT